CCCGGATGCAAAACTCTCGGCGGGGACAGGGGGGATCGGAGGGATAAATCCAGCGCTGATCATCGCTTGCGAGCCGGGGATCACCGCCAGCTCTGCCCCGCTGAACTCTGGCTTTTCCCTTTTCCTGCCTTTTTTTTTTTCCTCTGTGTGCTTTCTTTTTTTTGTGGGGGTTTTGTTTATTTTTCTTCCCCAGCCGGGTACTGCATTTTTTTTGTCCCCGTGGGTGATGAGAAGTCACCTTCACCCCAACTCCAGCTGGGTCTGAGCTTGTCCGACACCGTCCCGATGAGCCGCTGGCTTGGTTTTTAAACGGTAATAAATAATTTTTCTTTCCCCTTTTGGCTTCTCCCTTTTGAGTTCTTACTTAAGGGAGGGGGAAGGAAAAAAGAAAACTGAACCAAACACACACCTTCCCTAAAGGAAAGCTTTCGGGCTGGTATTTTTACAAAATGTTTTGGGGGGTTTTTTTGGGACTCTTTGCAGGGACGTACAGCCCCGGCCCCTGTATTTTTGCACAGGCTCAGCCAAAGCCGGGAGCTGCCCCGGCACGCTGGCTGCAGCGTGTTTCTTCCTGTCACCCTCCGTAAATCGCCGCTGTGCTGAAGCAGAACCCTCTGGACCAATTCTCTTCAGGCTTTGTGGGGTGGGTGCAGCCCCAGGACCCTCTGGTTCTGCCTCCCCTGCACCCCCAGACCTCATCCCCCTCTTTTTTTTTTTTTTTTCAGCTGCTTCGGACTCAGGGGATTGTTTTTTGTCCAGAGGGTTTTTGAGCAGCCTGAGCTCGGCTCAGTATCGGGCTCGGTTTTTGGGATGGGAGCTGGGGTGCATGGAGAGACCCTCACCCTGTGCCTGATGCATCAGGGCTGGGCACAAAGGGGGAGCTTGAGGGTGGGGGTTCATCCCCTATCCCTATTTTTTAGAGCTGGGAAATCTGTGCAAACCTGGCTCTAAATAAAAATAACCCGTCCTGCTGCCCGTGCAGCCTCTTGCAGGACATTGCCTTCTCTCCTTATTTTTTTTTGGGGGGGGTGGGGTGTGAAATAGAGCTTTTTGGTGGGTTCCTCCCCAACATTTCCTCCCAACATTCCTCTCGGCCCGTTTTTTGGGGGAAAGTGCTTCCAGCAGCACTCCCTGTAACTAAATAAGTGGAGTTTGGGGATGAGAAGAAGGAGCTTGAGGCCAGCGCTGTCCCCAAAACATCCTGGGGACCTCGGTCCCTGCCGTCTTTCCTCACCCCTGGATCTTGCTGCTGTCTGTGCTCCCTGTGGGCATGTCCCCGGGTGGCTGGTGCCCCCTTTCCTCGCTGCGGTGGGGTCAACAGGAGGAGCAGAGCTGGCTTTGGGGCTGTGTGGGGGATTTGGGGGAATGCTGTCCTGGGGTGTCTTGCCTTGGGGTCCAGCGTGATGCTCTCCGATGCTCGTGGGGCAGCTGCCATTGCCTCCTGCCCTGTGATGCCTTTCCCCACCGCCTTGGCAGAGAGAAGGCAGAGGTTTGGGGCTGAAGACGCGTAATTTTTCCCTGTTCCTTGGTGCCTGGCACCTCTGTCCCCATCCTCTTCGATTTAAATTTCTTTTATTTTTTCCATGTGCAAACTGGGGAAGATGCAGCTCGGGCCTCACCATGTTGATGCTCCTGGAGCAGCAAATTTTGGTGATCGTGGCATCACCCCTTCCCCTTCATTCCTGGTCCTCCAAGGGACCCCAACTCCTTGCACTGCTGTGATTTTTTTTTTTATTCCCCACTAATAATAATATAATAAAATTATTATTGATTTTCCAGCACCTCCTGGAAATCCCCCAAGCAGGGGAAGAGCTGGAGCAGGGCATGGGGTGTTACTACCACCCGTTAATGGCGGTCCTCAGTGGGGGACCCCACCCCAGGGCAGCTCCCTGGGGATGTTTGGGTCAGAGTCGCACCCTTTTGCCCTGTCACAGTGTTGGGGTGCAGCTGGGGACCCCAAGATGATCCCCATCACCCTGACTTGCTCTGGGCTCTTCCAGGGTCGGCCATCCTGGATCTGGCCGTGCTCCTGTTGGGTGAGTAAATAATAAAAAATAAAGTGATTTTTGCACCTGAACGGGGCTGGTTTATGACTTCTGTCCTTGTTGGGGTGGGGAGGGCTGAGACCCCCCCCTTTGCCATGGTCTGGAAAGGGCGGTGTTGGAGCCACGCGTGCAGCGTCTTTTCGGGGTGGCCTGAAAACATCGAGCTTTGCTGCAGGACCCTGGGTTTGTGGAGCTACGTGTGCGTGGCTGGAGCATCTTGGCACATGTTTTGGGGGGGTTGTGTGTTGTGGGACAGGGTGGCCTGTTGGCATGTGTCCCATGCGCAGTGTGCCGCAGGGCTGCGGAAGTCTGCGGGGTGCCACGTATGCGAGTTACATACGAAAATATGGATTTCTGGGTTGCTCTGACCTCTTTTTAAATATTCTTTTTTTTTTTTCTCATTTGTCCTGGTCTCTGAGAGGAGATGGAGCCCCCTTCCCCAAGTAGTTGCTGCTTTTTGGGGTCTGCACGGGGTTGCGGGAACTCGGGATGCCGCATTCTCCCTCCTGCAAGGATCCGCAGCCCCTGCACCCATCCTGGCCGTGCTCCCTTTGGGGAGGGTGAAAGCCCCAGCCCCGTGGTCTCACCCCAACCCCACTGGGTGCACTAAGGGGTGACTGGCTCTTGGGGTGGGGGTCTGCGGACAAGCCCCCTTACCACCCTGTTGCAGAGCTTTTTAACCCCTTTTTCCAGCTTTACTCGCACTTTGCACGCACTTGAAGGCACCACGGGCATCACTGGCCTGGGAAAGATCCAAAACTCCTCCGGTTGTCCCCACTGATGGGTTTTACACCCCACTTCCATCGGACAGAAGGGTGATTTGGGGGGGATACACGGTTCTAAACACAGCAGCACCCTAAGGCACCTCATCCAAGCCCATGTGGGTGCCCGGAACTGGTTATAACCCCCAGCAAAGCCACCCATCCACCGGTGCCATGCGCCCCGTCTCGTCCCCAAGTAGTGATGAGCTGGATCGTCGCAGATAACAGAATTTCTGCAAACAGGAGGAAAAACCGCAACCGGCCGATCAATGCGGTACGGCCAAAGTACCCCTCGCTCCTTCCTCCTTAATTATTGATGCTCATACCCGGCAGGTTTCTCACCGAACTGCTGCGGCGCGTTCTGCACAAGTCCCGACGTCTTGGTAACATGAGAACTCCAACCCTGGGATAACAAATCATGGTTAGGAAGCGGGGTTGGGCTGCTGGGCACGCAGGAATTTGGGGTTACTTTTTCTCAAAAACCCATGAATTAATTCGATTCCCAGCAAAATAAATCCCCCAACAAAACAAAAGCTCCGAGAGGCCGTGCAGGACGAGTTGTCCCCGGGACTGACCAACTGCGAGCTGTGCCCGGACGCAATTTGGAACTGATATTTTTTGGCTCACGCCGATATTTATATTCTGGCTTGGCCGAAGTTTGCCTTTTGCATCTTCCCTCACTCCCGTGCTCCGGGTATGGCTGCCTCCTCCTTGGTTCCGCGTCCCCAGGTTAAATACATATATATATATATAAAAAAATACATATATACATAAAAATACATACATATATAAATGCATCTATGTACTTATATCACCTTGTCAAAACCAAGCTCATTTGCTTCTGCCAGCTCATGGGCTCACTTGGTTTGGCACTTTCACTGCTCATCCCTACGGCTGGGATTTATTCCTAGCAAAGTACAGAGCCTTACGCCTTCCCCCAGCCGGCGCATCTGTGTTCCACCAATATCATCCCTAACCTCGAAGGGAGCTGAGGCCCTTCCCGACAGCCAGGATGCGGGAAACTCCGATGCAGACCGTGAACAGGACCACAACTGGGGTTCTGAGCCCAAAGTCTTTGCTTCCAGGTGGGTCTGCATCACCCAGGAATGATGCTGCTGCGGGAGGTGGGATGTGGGATGCAAGGATACAGGACATTGGATGTGTGATGCAGGTAGCGGGATGCAGGATATGGGTGTGGGATGCAGGAGGTGGGGTATGGGATGGAGGAGGTGGGATATAGGATGTGGGAGGTGGGATGAAGCAGGTGGGATGCAGAATATGGGATGCAGGGTATGGGTGTGGGATGCAGGAGGTGGGGTATGGGATGAAGGAGGTGGGATATAGGATGTGGGAGGTGGGATGAAGCAGGTGGGATGCAGGATATGGGATGCAGGGTATGGGTGTGGGATGCAGGAGGTGGGGTATGGGACGGAGGAAGTGGGATATAGGATGCGGGAGGTGGGATGAAGCAGGTGGGATGCAGGATATGGGATGCAGGAGATGGGATGTAGGATGCAAGACATTGGATGTGGGATGCAGAATAAGGGTGCGGAATGCAAGCTATGGGATGCAGGAGGTGGAATGCAGGGTGTGGGAGACGGTGCAGGAGCTGGGATGCAGGATACAAGGATACAGAATATTAGATGTGGGATGCAGGTAGTGGGATGCGGGATATGGCATGTGGGATTTTACGTGCAGCATACGGGATGTGGGATGCAGGATGCTGGTTGTGAGCTATGTGGGGTATGGTATGCAGGATGCTGGATGTGAGCTGCAGGCTGCGGGGTATGGCATGCAGGATGCAGGATAAGGGAGGTGACAAATAGGATATGAGCACTGGGGTGCAGGATATGGGGTACAAGAAATGGGATATGGGATACAGGATACGGGATACGGGATAAGGGATGCTCCCCTGCAGCAGGCCCCTGTGGCTGTGTGAGCAGTGCCATGGCACCCTGTGTTGGCTGTCGCTGCTGCTGTGCTGGGAGGAAGGGGAAGAGCTGGATCACTCGTGAGGAGCAAGAAGGAGCCCGGCACTGCCAAGCCCACCCTTCCCTGACCGGACAAGCTCCAGCGAGGATGCAACACTGACAATAACCAGCAATACCAGCTCACTCCAGGCACTTTTGATAAGAATTTATTGGGTGCTGCCACTCATACCTACATACTACTGTGTGCGCAGATATCCATGTGTGCACGTAGGTGTGGAAACCTCTGTGCGACCGTGCACGTAGTGGGATGCAGGATGCCTGTCCATGAGTGCACACAGGGAAAGCAGCTGTATTGCCAAGTGGGTGACATGCAAGGACAGGGTCAGTCCTCGGGTCTGGTGGTGATCACGTCCCGTAAGCCACGAACCTTTGCTGTCCCAGCTGCCCATGCGGAGCAGCTCTCCTTGGTGTTGTCACCCCCAGTGTCCAGGCATCCCGTCACCTCCCCCATGCTGGCCGCACAGTTCCTCATCCCTGCCTGCCAAGTTTCCAATTAAGTCATTAGCTTAGAGCCTAATTACCCACACGGTAAAATTCCTTGAGTCGTTTATTTTTTTCCTTGCCTCCTTTCCTCCCTTTCCATGGACGAGAGCTGGGGGGAAGAGGGAGGGGCAGGCAGAGCATCCCTCCCCCCCACCCCCAGCACCAGGTTATTAATTCATGTAACAGGCCAAGGCTGGAGCCGAAGCCCTGGCAGCTGTCTGCTCCCTGGGAGCGCGAGCTGTAATTTGCACAAGCAAAAATAAACTAATTGTTATTTTTGATTTACATAAAGGGAAGGGAAGAGAGGTGGGGGAGGTGGCAGGGAGGGTGAAGGGGAGCCTCACGCTGCCAACCTCTCCTGGGTGGTGTGCGCCGTAGGACCAGCTCTTCCCCTGCTCCCATGGGTCTCATGCTGCCTGTCTGGGAGAGAATGCTGGTAGCAGGAGGAGTTGACAGCTACGGAGAGGTTGGGCCATTATCTTCCTTGCCATGGGGACAGGGAAGGTGGCCCACTGTCAGCTGTGAGGTGTGAAGCCCATCTCGATGCAAGCACAACCCAAAGGGAGAGGACAACTGCTTTCATCAGCTGGTTAAAAGGAAAGACCTGCCGGTGTCAGGCCACTTTTTGGGGACGAAGGTAGGTTTATTTGGGGTTTTCACTTTGGCCATGGTGTGTGTGGATCAAAAAGAAGGGCCTGGTCAATGACAACCACAAGAGACAAAGCGGGAACTTGAGCTGAGGGGACACCCCACATGTTCACTGTCCCCCTTACTTCTTAGTGTTAGTCCTTTATTTTCTGAGGCCCCTTTTTTGGGGGCTTTTTCATGCCCAGACACCATTCACCCCAGGAGTTTATCGCTCCCGCTTCTGCTTAGTTGACCAGTCTCTTGTTCTGGCACCAGCAGTGAGTCTCTAGCCCTTGCTCTCACTGCTCAGCTGATTGGGTGGCTGGAAGTGCCATCTGGAAGGTCTTCATGTAGGAAGACCATAGACCCTTGAGACTTTCAACTATTCTCTCAAGTGAGAGCTGTGGAAGGACACCTGGTGGGAATATGTTTTCTAGATCTGGGCTTATGATGGAGGTAAGCATGATGGAAAATAGCAGAGGGAGTTGTGAGTGCTCCTTTCTCATCAACTCAAAGCAGCCTAAGGACCCCCCTTGGGCCAGAGAGGAAGACGAGGAGGATGAGGAACACATCCATGGTCCCATTCATTGAGAGGGGAGGGATTTGAGATATCGGGGCTCACCGTGTCCAGCAGCGTCCCCACCATGTGGCATGGGAGACCCCTGCCATGCCAGCGCATCCCAAGAGCCTTTGTCATAACACTTTGAACAAGACGTCGCGAGCGTTTAATTTAGATTTACACCGACAGGTTCTGTCCGTTAATTAAATATCAATTGATTGTTTGGAGAACACTTCCTTGGGTTTATCGCGTTTCTCAGAGACAAATCAAATTGCCATGTCATTAACTTGCAGCTATACAATCCATACATAATTACTGTCTTATTAATACCTTCGAGTTACGAGGAAGTTTTAGGCAATTAATATTTGTGGGATAGTTTGTATCAACTTAATTCTGTCAGGGTTATGTTAATAATGCAGACATCTAATAAGCTGGATAATTAACGTCTTTCTCGTTAGCATCTTCTCAGATGCCAGTTAAATGTCAGGCCAGCCTTTGTGTCCAGGCTGCGTTTAATTAAACATGTTTTAGAGAAGGGCTCATGTCTGTTACATGTGAACAGAGCCAGGC